TTAGAAAGGCACCCCCCCCCCCCTTCTTCTCTCCTAATAGGAGACCCCTCTAGATCTTCGGTCTTCAAGTTCAGAGCTAGTGCTGGACTTGCTAAGTAGACAGTCCAGCATGCATATCAATTTAAGGTGAACTGACTTTTTTAAGAAGAGGCATTAAATCGACTCTGAGTAGATGGATTCTTAGCAAAACTGAAAAAAAATTGCTATGTGGGCACAGCTTTGGGTTCAAGTCGACAACAACCGCTGGATAAACCAACTCCAATCAGGCAGGTCCTAGTGTACATAGTTGTTGGTAGATCTGAAGGGGATTGTACAATCAGATTGTATGGTTTACAGTTGCAGGTTCCATGTCCTATTTTTTCAGCCTTCGCTCTTTAGAAGAGCAATGGCCTCTTTACATTGCACAGTCTGACAGGTGTGTCATTGCCTGGTTCCTTGCTGTGCTCTGTGCTTCTTCCTGCTGGCCCTTGCGTCACTATAGGACACAGAAGTGACAAAGGGACTGGGCGGATGGAACCAGAGTGGAAGGGGATGCAGGCTCCGGATGTGAAGATTCTGCCGGAGGCTGCATCTTTTAAATACCGCAAAGATCTGAGTAATAAGCAGCAGGACTGGGGTCTTGTTTTGCTGGTGGTCATTTTACTTTTTTTTTTAACTCAGCGACTTAAAAAAATGCTAAAATACATTATAAAAATGAATCCTGAACATAAAAAATGAATGCAAATGTATGCAAACAGGAATTATGCATTCCCAATAAGTTTAAGTCTTACTTCAGTCGTCTCTTAGCTGCAATCATTGGCACAAAAAATCCAAGTGAGGATAAATGTGTGAAGTGGAAGCGAGATATCAGAGAGAAGAGAGGGCCAGAGGCTGGGGGGTGGCAGGAGTTCTGGGAGAGAGAAGGCTATTAAAGGTAATTTCCCCTCTGTCTCACAAGAAGAAGAAAGCTTTTACCGTAATTGTCAAGCTTTTTCATTAGGTATTTATAAAGAATAGAAAAGAAGGAAAGAGTGTTAGGGAAGTTGGTGAGACACAGTCTGAATATAGCGACCACTTTGAGATATAGTCTGGGAGATTAGTAGGAAAGTCAGTCACATGGTGGTTGTTTAAAGTCTGAGTGAATCTATATGCCAAAGATTTTTTATAAAAAAAACAAACGACATACATGGATACATACACATGATGCATATAAAAGATACATACACATGTTAAAGCAAAATTCCAGTCAAAACTATTTAAAAACTACAATTTGCTGCCCTAGTAGACCCCGTTCTCCAGTACAGGAAGTGTGACCCTGGCACTAATCCTTTCTAAAAGCCTGTAACCCTAGCACAAACCCTTACTGTAACTTTCACACTGACCATCCCTGTAATCAAAGCCCTTATAATGATCCTTCCTGTAACCCTAACACTAACCCTTCCAGTAGCCCTCACACTAACCCTCCCTGTAAGGCTGACACTAACCCTCCTAAAACCCTAACACTAACTCCCCTTGTAGTTACATAGTATTTGAGGTTGATAGCACAGAACCCTGAGGCACACCGCTCATTACACTAGCCCTATCCTTCTGTGTAACTCCAGTACTAAACCCTTCCTGTAACTTTAACACCAGCCCTGCTGTAATACTCACACCAACCCTCCCTGTAACCCTAACACTAACCCTCCCTGTAACCCCAACACTAACCCTCCTTGTAACCCTTACCCTCCCTGTAACCCCAACACTAACCCTCCTTGTAACCCTAACCATTCCTGTATCCCCAACCCTTATATTAAACCCTTCCTGTAATCTTAAAACAAACTCTTCCTGAAACCTTTATAGTTACACTCCCCGTAATCTTAACACTAACCATCTCTGTAACCCCAACGCTAACCCTCCGTTATAGTCCTAACACTAACCCTCTCTGTAACCCCAACACTAACCCTCCTGTAACACTAAAACTAACCCTCTCTTTAACCCCAACTCTAACCGTTCCTGTAATCTTAAAATGAACTCTTCTTGAAAACTTTACCGTTATACTCCCCGTAATCTTAACACTAACCCTCTCTGTAACCCCAGCACTAACCCTCCCTTATAGTCCTGACACTAACCCTCACTGTAACCCCAACACTAACCCTCCTTGTAACAGTTACCCCCTCCCTTTAATCCTCACACTAACCCTTGCTATAACCCTAACATTAACACTTTCTGTAACAGCAACACTAACACGTCCTTTGTAAACACCTGTGCCTTTTTTGCCTTCATTCCTAAAGCATTTGGTAACAGAAACACTTATAGTGACATTAAACCCTCAGATTTTTTAACATAAAACAATACTGTAATGTGTGCCTTACTGTAATCCATGGTAGTTTCCCTTCTCTTTGCTGCTCTTCCTTTTAAATCCTCATGTCTTCTCATGCTTGGGAAGAACTTCCCTTTTCAGCTCAGGGCCTCTTCCTGTAGTGCTGGCTCAGGTTTCAAGCCTATACAAACGTATACACAGACACTGTGTATCCATTACTGAGACAAGGCAGTCTGCTGCAAAACAGCAGTTCTGCTCAGCATGAGAACAGATACAGATTTAAAAGGAAGAGCAGCAAAGAGAAAGGAAACAACCATGGATTACAGTAAGGCGCACATTACAGTATTGTTTTATGTTAAAAAATCTCAGGGTTTAATGTCACTTTAACTGATCATGATTGTATCCCACACACACTAAGTCAGTAATATTGTTCTGTGGCTTATTCTTTTAGCAACACAAGCACATGTGTGCGTATTTATATATTTATATTGTGTTGTATCTTTCAGAGGGTTCCCGTCCTCGCTGTCAGTTCAGTGTCCCTGTTTGTGCTGTTAATGGTCCTCCGGCTCATCAACGAAATGAACTTCCTGAAGTTGCTGTCTTGTTTTGGGCAGACCAGCTCCCAGTGTGCACCCGTGCATGTCACGTGGCGGCAGCGGCCTCGGACGTATCACGACGGCTACATTAACATTAAGACGCTTGAGGTAACAGAACTTGCTAAATTGCCATGTGTATGTCTTTTTATAAAGTGATGATGGTGCCTTTAACACACAAATAAGCTTCGTGCCAAAACTGCTTCTGTATGGGCAAGGGTTAGGTGTCCTGTGGGGTATTTATAACTCTCTTTGTCACCATTTGGAAGACCTCTCTTTCCAATTCCTGTTCCAGATATACAGGAAATAAAGGAAATCTCCCCAAAGCGAGAGGAAGCACCACCCTCCCAATTGGAGGATTTCCACTCACGTTCTGTTCTGGTGACAGAAATCTTGGATTCCCCATCAATTCCTGTCCCAGTGACATTGGCCGCCAGGATGAATACAGAGGGTGAATTCCCCCAACAGGGACACAGACAGCTATTAAAACCTGACAAGGGTTTTAGCCCTTCCCTAATCCATCCAAAAACGAAAAAAAGTCTTTAGATAATGAAGTATTATAAACGGAGTATCAATACCAAGCAGATCTTCAAGAGGTAGGTGTGTTCGGCAGGCCGGAAACATGCAGCAATTCAAACACATTTAAATAATATGGGCTTGCAAGCTCCATTTTATAGGGATTTAAACAATAGAACCATACAAGTTACCTTGAATTATCTCCAAAAAGAAGATTATAATACCACCTTGTATTCCTAATTTAATTGTGCCAAGCTCATTAGCTGGGTCTTCTTGTCTTGATAAGACTCCCTCATATCAAGCTTGGAGGACAGCTGTCTTGGCATTGGACCTATTGTTCCTTAAGCCAAGGTCAAAAAACATGTTAATGACTTTCTGTCTTTAAACACTTGTTACCTCAGCCTAAGTCTTCTACATGAACGCTAGTTACAACTATTTCAAAGCCTTAATGTGCTACATGAACTCTAATTACCATAATCTACAAAGCCTTAATGTTCTACATTAACTCTAGTTACCATCATCTACAAAGCATTAATGTCCTACATGAACTCTAGTTATCTCCATGTACAAACCTTTGATGTCCTACATGAACTGTAGTTACCTCAACCTACTATGATAAATGTTTATTCATACAACTCATTATCTATGTACTATATGTATATATAATGTTTACGCTATAAGTCAGGACACTATTAATTGTGCATTATATAAATGCAGTACAGTTTACTTACTAATTATTCTATACATGGATGTGTATATATCTTTAACCCCTTCCTGCCCTGAAATCAGTAGGTTAACGTTCCTCAGAACAATGCCTCATGCTGAACAAATGTTAATTGTTACATTGCTAATATGAAAGTAGAGGATTCATCTTAGTTTTATCCTTTGTATGTGAAATGCTCTGCAAGGCTAAAACTTTCAGTAACCTAACTAAAATAATAATATCGATAATAGAAATGTGTATGACGATTAATATCAATATGAAATGTAAATGAAAAAGGTGACCACTAATACTGGACACAAGGAATGGCTACACTTCCCGACATGTATACAACAGTTTACTTTTAAAGAAAAGTTGCACCTGACTTTTTTCTCTTCTATATGTTCCAAAATAATTTTTATTGATAATCATATTCTGCTCTTTTATAAACCTCCTTTTACCTTCCCTGAGTGTTCAGAGTCCTCAAATTCTGTCCCATGTAACGTCTGCTAATGATAATGAGAAGGTTGTACGTCATTCACCGTTATTACCATCCTGCAGTGCTGGCAGAGAAGACTGGTGTAATATTTCTGCCAGATTCATATACTGCAATGGGCACCAACACCAATCTCCTAGGAAATAGCAATCTGTCATCTGGCTGTGGACCACCAGCCCATCCCTGGCACATATGTGTGATTATTATGTTTCTGTGCCTACTCCTCCTCCCTCACTCCTCCCCGATTCTCCTTTACTTCTTCCTCACTCCTCCCCTGCTCTTCTCTCTCTCCTCCCCTGCTCCTCCCATACTCCTCCTTCACTCCTTGCTTAATCCTCCCTCACTCCTCCCCTGATCTTCCCTTACTTCTTCCTCACTCTTTCCCTGCTCCTCCTTCCTTACTCCTCCCCTGATACTCCCTTACTCCTCCCCTGATCATCCTGTCCTTCCTCACTCCTTCCCTACTCCTCATGTGCTCCACCCTTACTCCTCCTATGCTCCTCCCTCACTCCTCTCCTGCTCCTCCCCAGTTCTTCCCTTACTCCTCCCCTGTTCCTCCCTTGTTCCTACCTTGTTCTTCCCCTACTCCTCCCTCACTCCTCCCCTGCTCCTCTTTCCTCACTCCTGCCCTGCTCCTCCCTCCTCAAAGCTAGACAGACAGCTGCCCAAGACAGCACTGTTCCTTGCTACCTCTTCCCCATGTAAGTGGTCTCTAACCTGAACTTATGAGAGAGCTGGAGCTAGCGGCTTAAACATTTTTAAATTGGAAGGCTGGATTTACACTTGAGCGCCTGTGTCTTTGGTCAGTTTTTGCTCCATTTGTTTGTGCATTCTTCACACATTTTCAGCTTTGTGCATTTCAGATTTAGCCAATGGATAGCTAGTTATTAGGAGAAGGTGGAGGAGACATTTGTTAGGTGCAAAATTCATAAAAAATTCATGCTTCCCCCATTTTTCTGGCTATTTTTTAGGCACGGCCATTGAAGTCTATCGGGGCCAAAAAATATGCAATCATGCTGCAAAGGAGCTGCATACGTTTGAGTGTTGAGCGTCAGCTCAGATGTGAATTGGGCACTATAGAATGACATGGAAACATGCAATTCTGTGTCCATCGTCAAAGTATTTTTGGAAACGCGTTTCCATTTACTCAGGAGTGAATGGGGGATAAGTGCATGGGCAAAGAAATTAACAAGCACTTTTCGGGGATTTTTCATTTTGATGAGCTGATTGTGTTGAGTGTAAAAAGCTGAGAGTTTAATACAACTTTAAGAACTGTTCTGTTTCCTACAATTGCCATTCAGAGAATCTTGATTATGACACATGTAGAATGAAGTCTGAATCTGATTGGTGATTGTGGGTAGCACAGAACAGTTCTTACTTGAGTCTGAACTCGAGGCAGATATAATAGACACAAATGAATGCAGCTCTGTAATCAGTAACACATTCTTAAATAATGTTTTTCTTAATCCAAGCAGTATAAGTACTTTAATTCGACTTGGTATCAGCCTCATGCAGTCCCTGTATGGCAAAGCTCAGATGGTAGAGAGAAGCAGCACAAGAAGCCAATCAGTTGAATAGCAGTGCAGGTGACATGCTGATAGAAGGCGAGAGGAGAGCGTCAGAGGTGAGCTTATTAGTGTGCTGCATCTCCTTTCACTGTCCATTCACACGGTGAGGGTGATGAGGAGACCTGTAAGTAAAAGTGAGTCTGTCGCAGAGGAAAAGCAGGTCTCTGCCCCTGAAAGGCAGAACCCATGCTGTAGTGGTAGTGTTGTGTAAAACTCAGAACTGGATGGGCAGGAATACCATTTGGCAGGTTAAAGTATATCATCTGTTTATTTAGCTGTTTGCCTGGAATTCAGCTTTAAATTGGAACTTTACTGTGAATGGCTAAATTCTGGACATGTCACAATATAAGAAAACCTCATCTTTAAAAAAACAACAACTCTGTCCTTTATCATTAAGGCTTGCTTCACACCTGAGTGTTTCGTATGGTAATCCCTGGTACTATCTGCATTGCGGTGCAGTTTGTTTAGACTGGCGACCCAATACATACATACAGGAGCTGCCAATGTCCCGGCGCTATAGTGGACCACAAGGCATATACTGCCATTTGTGGCGCACTGCTTTGAAAATGCAGCAGGTGCAGCTTTGTTTTAATTGAGTAGCCAATTCAAATTGAAAAAAAAAGTATAAAGGAACCCTTATGATCTGTCCTTGAGCTCCAGCCAAGTGATCTTTGCCTTTGATGACATAATGTCATCAGTCTTCTGCAGGCAGGAGGAAGCATTTCCTCGGTCTACTTTCCTTCAGTGGCCAGATAGCAACTTTGTAGCAACTCAAAAGGTGTGAACACTGCCAAGAACTGCGCAGGTTGTGTAATCGTTTCATCTCTGAACTGTAATCTCAGTCCAGGAAGTGACCCTGGATGATCTCTGACCAAAGATGGCTCTGCCTTTCAGCAGACATCACACTTACATATTTACTATTTATGAACTTAACATATATATATATCTAGATATATATATCTAGATATATATACAGTATATCTAAATATATATATCTAGATATATATATATATATCCATACATATATATCCATACATCGGATGTGAAGTCCACTTAAAAAAAAACTATCACAAGAAACATGCTATTGCGGAAACTCTAATTCTGACAATTCCAGTTGCCTGGCTGACCCATTGGCATTAGGTTATCTTTAAGCCATTCCTGTTCTTGGGTGTGGGTCATGAGATTATCTAGAGTCTCTACACAGGATTTACGCATGACACATAAGCCACATAAGAAAAAGCCTCATCATGCTCTTCATTAGGTAAAGTCTCCTTGGAGTAATAATTACTCAGCAGGCAAAACCTTATTCTTGCAATAATTACAATGAGAGATGGTGATGGGGATGGTGACATGCGCTGGTTGCCCATACTCCCTCAGAATACCAATGTATCTTCTGCTTCAGATGTCTCCCCTTCCGGGATGAGCCCCGCTGCATGTCTTGCCCATTGGATTGCATTATCTCCGCAGAATGCCAATTCATATCTCTTTGTGTGGCTCGCTCCTCTCACATACGGGATTTTAATAACCGTCACGCTGTGCTATGAATTCCTAAGCAGCTCTGGAAAGGAGGCCGAGCAGCACGACTTCTTTCTTTCATTACGAGTCTTTTGAGAAACAGAATGGGCTTATATTTGGTGCAGATAGTTTGACAGATTAGCAATCTCCTTCCAAGGAAATGAACAATCATTTTGTCTACGTGTTCCTGAAGTAAGTGGTTTTGGAGAGTCAGAGATGGAAGTAGTAATTATCAAATACAGAAGGTGAGCAGTGGGCTTTTGGGATGAGGAACCCAGCTATTTGTAAATGTTTTACTAGTCCTGCACATCTACAA